ACGTTCCTACTTAGCATAGGAACTATATGGTTTGCTTCAATTTCATAAAAGTTAATTTCAGACCTTCTTTTGTCCATCAAAGGCAATTTCAGCTCTCCAGATGCTAGCAGTTACTTTAGAAAGGAAAAAATATAGAGTTGGAAGTCAATGCACTTCCCTTTTTATGGGTTGCTTTATCAAATATTAAAGAATGAACAGAGGATATATTGTTCCAACAACTAAATCCCAGTAAAGGTGGTGTATTCATTCAGAGTTCAGCAGTTATACCTGTGTCCATGGTATCAAAACCCCGGGAATGCTTTTTAAGGAATCTCTTTTGCCTTCAGTTCTGCATCAGCGGCTACCTTGGGTCAGGGAGAACCATACAGAGGAGGGTCTTGGAGTGTGTCTACAATGTCAAGCTTTTATCAGATTTACACGTTGGTGATGATGAATTTCATATGTTAAGTGTAAAGAACATATTTCTCTCTGGGTACAGACTCCAATACAAGCCCAGTCAGCCATCCAAAGGAGGCTAGACGAGACTGTGGGAGAGACAGGACAAATTCATCATCACAGACTGAAAAGCACACAGCATTGTCAGACAGGATAAGAAATGTGAAATCTTACCATACGTTGTTTATTAGAAACATATCTAAAATTTACATATACTCACAGAAAGTCTCTAGCAGAAGAAGGGGAAAAAAAAGATATGCCAGCAAACATTATGTAAAAGATGTCAGCCAAAATTAACGTTAAGGAAAAGAGCATTATTTGATGTTTTCCAAGAACACAAAACAAAAAAATGAAGTAAGAAATGATTCAGGTGTCCACTGGGAGCTGGGATTCTTTTCATTTTTACACTATTTTGCAAAGGCAAATGGATTCTTCTATGCTTTCTAAGTGTAATTAATTCCTAGTAGGTCTATAGTGTTTCTTGTCAGAAACTGATATTTTATATGAACTCCTTTATATTAATTTAGATGATCAAGTTTCAGTGGTCCTATGACCTTTCTCAATTTTCAGTATATGAATTATCAACATTACTTAAAATCTTAGATTAGTTTCCTCCTGCCATGTAATATACCAAGGTGGCATGGACCCAAGGAATAAAAACTTATTCTAATTGCATAAATGTTTGCAGGATTAGGAAATTAAATATGCCATCAAATATCTAGGCAGCCTATTTTGTAACAAATATAAACATTTGTTTTATAGTATCGTGTTAAGCATTTTTTAAAAAAGGAAGAAAATAAACTTGGACACTGGATCAGCAGCACCATTTTAGTAGAAGACAGCTGTTGCATTCTATACTATTTCATGTGCCTAGGAAATTAAGAATATTCTGAGATGGCTCAGACTGAAGGCTCCAGAGTTAATTTTTTATTCTGTCATATACCAAGTTAACAATCTCGGGCCTGATAACAGTTTTGAGCCCACGGTACCCAAGGCTGTGAGAGAGAGCTCCAAAGGAATCCTGAGAAATCACAGTTAAATGAACACATCATTTCTCAATCCACTACTGGGAGACTCATGATGACGATGACTTTTTCCATCAGGGAAAGCTCACCAGATTGGGGCAACACCAAAATGATGAAACACCACTTTTTAAAAAAGAAATACCTAAAATATTAGCGGTAACTTGTATCATCCTTAAAATATATTTGCGAACGTCAGGATATTTTTGCTCAGAGATGTTACTATAAATCAGGATTCTTTTGTTCTTAGTGATGTTCCTTTTCTCGTGTTGTTTACTTGTGACCGCGAATGAGACGAGAAGTAAGGAAGGGGTTCTCTCTTATGGCCCTGAGACAAACCTTGCTCAACTTGAGAGATATTTTCCAGATCTAGAAATGCTTACGTGTAAACTATAAAAGCATGAGGCATGGGAGTAATGGCAATTATATTTTTCTCTCATCAAAAACAACTTTAAAACATTCATTTGGATTTTACTATAGAACCATGCTAGTTATAATTCTTTAGTAAAATATAATGCTAACACCAATTGTGGCAGTGATTTACATAGATTTATAACAAAATAAAAATGCTATTGAAGTTCTGCTATATTTACAAATGCTACATTTATGTATACGCAAATCAGCCTCAATATTAATGGTAAAACCTTAGGGTTTTAAAGAGGCACATTTCCTCTACTTACACACCTCCACCCATTCACAACCCCAAGACAAGTTTTCACAAGCAACGTTTAGATTTGGGAAGAAAAAAGTAATTATTTCCAGGACCTATCCTCTCTCCTTCCCTCCCCATCCAGCTTTGGAAGAGGTGGCAACACAAAAATGCCAATGCACAAACCAAGGTTGGAAGATCCATGTTCCCACCCACCCAGTGAGAGGGCTGCAAAAACGCAGGAGAGCTTTGAGCAAAGTAATGCACTTGCATGTATAAGCATTGCATAAAAGTGCTCTCTTACAGACAGACAGACACACACACAGAGCATATAAGAAATATGTATTTTAAAGTTAAAGCATTTTAACTATTCTGTGTAACCCCAAGAAAGAATCACCAATGAATACTTTTATGCTGCATCTGTTGATCATGAGTAATCAATAAAAGCTTCTATATGGCCAACAACAACCAAAAAAGAAGAAAGAAAAGGAAAGGAAAATAACGTAAGCCAGTGATTATGAAACAAGAAGGAATTCAAGATATACAAATATCTTGAATGTTAATACACAAAGATAAAAATTATGAAAGGATATCTGAACCTACCTGTATTACTGTATCATTGAACACCTCTTAAAATGACTTAGCCCTGACTTCATGGGCCCCTGAGAGTCTGGCCTTTTCCCAAGCAAGTACTTGAGGCACAATCTTTTACAGCAGGAAAGAAGGGAAAGACACTTCAAAGAGGGTACCTATACTCCAGCTTGCTTATAAGATTTTTCCTCTTTGACTACCTATTTATGTTCTTAATTTCTCAAACATAAAAAAAATCAGTTCTCATCTTTTGTTGTGACTACGTGATTTAAAATTTGCAGCACACAAATGCTAACATGTCTGAAATGCTCATAAATAATCATCTTTTGGATAAAAGGTTACAGCACATAAATAGTCTTCTAAGGACCTGCTTTGGTCTCAGTGCGTTGAAAAGAAAGCACGGTGTACAGTAGGTCTTCCTACACCATTTTTTAAAGTCTTCCTTGCCTACAAACCTTCAGGCTGATAAGGCCCAGCACGTCTTCCTCATCAGTTTACTCCACGGCATGGCCACAACATGGCTTCAAGGGTAATTTCCCCAGCAGCCCTGAAAATTGTGAGTCACTGAGATTACACAAAATTGGTATTTGGCTTCCTTTCAAGTTTCACATTCATCACATAATCGGGATATGAAGCATCCCTCATAGAGAAGGCAGCACCCAAAGGAATGAGCAGAACGTGTTTAAATAATACACACTACTAAATTTTACAGCTGTCCTTTTATATTCGAATGATGTTAAGCACACTGTCATGTTAAATTGAAAACATTTTAGATCTAAAAATATACTGTAGAAACAAATGACACAGTGAGAAACAAGACCAAAATCTATTTTTATAAAATACAATCTATAATTTCAGATACAAAATGCTACATATAACCATACTTAGATATCATCTAAATTATAATCTGGGGATTTATATTTTTTAAAGTTATCTCTGGTAAGTTTCAAATTTAGTATTTTTATAGAGTTTAAATATCTATACTGAATCTTTACGTTTCTTTTAAAAACTAGAACTGAGCATGAATATAATTCTAAAACAAGATTCCTGGCTTCAAAGAACTGTGTCTTCAGATAACCCTTCTCCTTAAATCATCAGAACCAAATATCTTCCTTAAAATTATACTTCCTCTCTTCTGAGTGGGCTCCACATAGAGAATGTCATGATTCGGGCTTCATTTTAATTTTTTTCTGGTTTTTGGATTCCTCTATGCTATGCTGACATCACCTTTACATTTTATCATATCTTCTCCCCAAACAAGCTGTTCATTGTGTTGCTCTCCAGTATTTTACTGAAATAGAACCTAAAGGAAGAAATTATGCTTCTTGCTTCAATTTCCCTTAAGCTTCAGTGATAATTTCAATCATAACAATTGCCAGGTTTGTATTTTTTATTCTGGATTCCTAATTACATAGGATGATTGAGGGTAATTTAAAAGTGTTTCAGAATCACCTACTGCCAAGATTCTGGAAAACGTCTTTTGCAAAACAGAATGTTAATGCTCTGAGGACTCCATTATATCTGCACTAGCACGTTCTGTGCACTTTTATGGAATGAGAGGGGAAAGGGCTGGGTTCCTCATAACTAATATTGTAATGCCACTATTGTCCTGCCACTCTGTCAGCCAACAAACATTGAGAACATATTCTGTTTCAATTTTTAGTTGTATATATTTGTATACTGCTAATTTCTAAAGATAACCAGTATAAACTCAGGAGGACCAGCTTGATGAATATTTAAGTGTTAGGGTCACACTGATGTAGATCTTATAAAAGTACTCCAGACCATGAATGAAGAGAGGAAATACTGTTTCCTAAGAATTTCCTAAAATGAGCAATACTTCAAGAGATGTTTTAGTTCTTAAACACCTCCTTATTTTAAACTAACCTGTTGTAGGGAGCTATTAAACACGATCTGCTTTTGGTCTGTTTCATAAAATAGCAAGTTTTATACCGTTTTCATGCTTGAGACGTTGAAAACTCCTGCCCTTATCCTTATCTGCAATGAGATAGTTGGCTATCTTGATTTCTTCCTGACTAAATCAGTAATAACCAGTTTCAATAACCAGCATATGCACATGCACACACACGGACACACACACACACACACGGATGGGCACAAAAACACACACACACGGTTAACAATAAAATAAAAAGGCCTCATAGGAAGTATGTTAATAAACTTCTTTACAGAGAGATGGCCAAGAAGGACAGCCAGGACTCCTTTTTCCATTTTTATAAGACAGAGCACAAGCAGAATTTTGCAAGGCTACAAAGTTTTTTTTTTTCCCATTTGTACCATTTCTTGGTAAAAGTAGGGGTTTTTTTTTCTTTTGTCTATGCATCTACAGACTCTAAAGGTAGGCAAGTAAGAACTGTGAGACCAGTGAATTGCTCTTGGCTATTTCTGCTATGCTAATCAGGTGAGAGAAATCTGGGTTTCATATTAGGAGCCCTTCTGAATGGTTCAACTCCTTTACAGCTACCATTAGCTGTCAGCTTCGCCATGGATATTGTCCATGTGCACTTTGAGGTAGTCATTCCTTGTAAACTTCTTATGGCAAAATTGGCATTCTGCCAGCGGACGATTGGGATTATGAGTCATCTTGTGTCGGATCAGCATTTTCTTCAAGCTAAAAGCCAAGTCACAAACCTAGAAAAGACCCAAAGATACCAATCATATTATACTGAAAAACCTGAGGATACACCAATTTATCATTTATATAATACACATTATGCAAACTCCTATTATAATGTACTGACAAGCATAAGAACAAAAAGTGCTCTTGAAATAAATGGAATTTAACACTCAAATTAAAGGGTAAGGAAAATTAATTAGAGTTCCCAAGAGTTGTTTGCATTTATTGTGTGTCCTCTGCACCCAACTGCCCTCCCCACCCCCAACCACCCCCAGCTGCTGTATTTAAACATCTCTAGAGAAACAACTCCCTGGAAACAATATCTTTCTCACCATAATGGGTTGTATTGACAATTTCATATAAAACTTCCTAAACAAAACTGCCTTATGGTCTAGATGGCATCTCTCTATCTGGCATAAATGGTACAAGACATTTCTCACCAGTGATCCATTCAATTTAGTTCCACTTTTGAAGTAAAAGATTAACACTAATTTAAGCACCCTAAGTAGAAGTTTATTACCCACTATTCCAATTTTTTACTTCTTCTTATATATACTTCATTTAACTAAGTTAAACTAAGTTTAACAAGTTTACTTCACAAACCTCTGCTCTATCGCCACCTGGCTCAACACACATTAAACAGCCCAATGATTAAAAATATTGAATTAACAGAGAAGATGTAAGGCATAATTAATCAGGTCATAAAAGGAAATGAAATGGAATTCTTTTAATACCAAATTTTCCTTCAAAGTTGGGTGTTATTCACAAAAATTCCATTTACATGAAACTCTTCTTTGTAAAATAAGGCTTACTTAAATAATGTGAAAATACCATGAAAAATGTAAAGAATATAATGAAAGAGGAAATGGCTTGTAAAAATACTGGAAAGGAAGCTGAAGTTCTGAACAAGGTGAGGCTTGTGAAAATACTACAGCAAATAAAAAATTTGCTCTCTCTCTTTATGGGGGAAGGAGGATTTACATTCACAGCAACAAGAAACTCAGAAAGGCACAGGCCCCTAATATGGTAAGGAGAGGGAGTAATCCAATAATGATATATTTCCATATATACACAAGTAGCAGCGTAGTGATAGAAAGAAAATAAGCCTTGGAGTTTGCTATGGACTGGATGTTTGTGACCCTGAAAAATTCATATGTTAAAGCCCTAATCCTCAATGTGACAGTATTTGGAGGGGGAGCCTTTGGGAGATAATTAGGTTTAGATGAGGTCGTGAGAGTGGAGCCCCCATGATAGGATAGCACCCTTATAAAAATAGGAAGAGACACAGATGTCTCTCTCTCTGCATGCACACACCAAGGAAGGCCATGTGAGAACATGAGCAGGAAGAGGGCCCTCACCAAGAACTCGACAGACTGGCACCCTGAGCCAGATCCAGGAAGGCAGGGATCTTTGTTTGTCTTGTTCACTCATATATCCTAAGGGGTAAGACAGTGCCTATAGAATGAGCACTCAATAAGTATTTACTGAATTAACCAACTTGGGTTTGAATTCTGATTCTATCACTTACTAAGGAAGTTTAAATGGACAAACTATGCCTCTTAATTTCAATTCCCTCACCTGTAAAATCACCATAAAGATAGTTATCTCACAAGATTAATACAAAGATTAAAGGAGGTAATCTATGTAAATGGATGTTATATTGCAGACACTCAATAAATGTTAGTGCCTATTTTTTCTCTTTTATATTCTCTGGCAAGAAGAATCATCAGTAGATTTGAAAAAAGAAACTAACGTTAATAAGAGGAAGCCAACAGCCACCATAGGTGGATTCGAGAGAGAACGTACCTATTCTACAGAGTAGCAGTCTATTCTACAGAGTAGTAGTAACACACAAGTGATTTTGCAAGCAAATAGGATAGTTTTCCAGAACAAACACAATGCATCCAATCAATCTGAGGAGAGGATATTTTTCTTTTGAAATAACTTTGTAAACATGAGCTTTGTAATCATAATTAAAAATGACTATATACCTTTAAAGCCACTGAAAAACAAAGCCAAGTCCTTGTAGAAAAGTCAGGGGATAAAAGGGAAAGACCCAGAAACATGAAAGAGCATAAAATGCAATGACAGACTACATTATATATGAGTTATGATAACTGATATAGAAGTATAAAGTACCTTTTTCAAAGACAAGACTCTGAAATTAGGGTAAAAAGGAAAATGCAAACACATGCTGTTCTCACGAAATATACTTAAAACTCACACACCCAAACATAATTTAAAAAGGGGGGGTCAGAATGTGCATAAACGTGTGCAAAGTGACGCTGATGGGAGTATAAACTGGTACTGAGTAGCCCTTCCTCAAAAGCATCTTGGAAAGATAGAGAGTATCAGTACTAGTGTTAGTATTTTCACAAGCCTTAAAAGAACCAGGAGTGCCACTTGTATGAATATCTCCTAGTTGAAGATGTATATACAAGATGTTCATCCAGAATTATTTATAAAAGTGAAGCACTACCAACGACTGACTTGCCCAGTCAAAGTTAATGGGTATGTTCATTTTGATATAAACAGATGAGAAAATACTTTTTAGCTGTTAAAAAAGATCATACTTCGAAAAATTTTTAAAAGCAAGAGAAAATCTAAAGGGAAGAAAGAGTAATGAGATGTAATGCATAATTTAATCTACAATATTGAAATAAAGATTGTAACTGTATCTGTATAAGTAAGTCTATGAGGAAAATGTCAACAGATGAACATTAATATTAGCTGACGTTAGTTGGGAAATTTGGGATTAATTTCTGTCTTCATTCTATTCTGTATTTCCTAATTTTTCAGGAACGAAAAAGTAAGCTTTTATAATTAGAAAGCAAATATCATTTTGGAATAAAAAAATAGTTGGTTTCATGAAAGTTCCATGTCCTCTTCCATCCATACCTCAAGCCCACCTCCATCACACTTCTGTCTTGAGTGTTCTACCCCTCCAAACTGCTCTGATAGGTCTCCACATAGCTAAAGCGAATGGGGCCTCTTGAATCTTCTCTTGACTTCTCAGCATCATTGACATACCTGACCACTTCCTCCTGCCTTTCCTTTGGCTTCTGCAATGACCTGCTCTCCTTGTTTTCCTTCCACTTTTCTGGTATTTTGCCCTCCATTTTCTTGTACAGCCTCCTCCTCCATCCTAACCTTGAAGTTGGGATCTCAGTGCCTGTTCCTTAGCCCTCTTCTCCATTCCCTAGGTATTTTCTCCCTTGGTGATCTTAACCACATCCATGCCTTTTGTTACTATTAATATGGAGATCACTTCCAAATGTCTCTTGCTCATCCAGTCCTCTCTTCTCATCTCCACAGTGGAGTATCTAACTGCCCACTCGGACAGCTCACTGGTACTCCAAATTTAATATGTTGAAAATGGAACTAAGCATCTTTGTCTCCCAAATCTAATTCTCAAAAAAAGTTCTGCCATTCACCTGGCACTTGCTGCAAATCTGGCAGTCCACTTTGACCCAGTGTCTCCCTCATCCCCACCTCGCCTAATCAACTACCACTTCTTCCTTGTACACATTTCTCCTTGTACAAACGTCTTCCTCTCCACTGCCACGTATGACCTAAATGAAAAGCACTATCTGCCTAAACCACTGCTTCTCTATCATAAGAAAATGTTCAGCATACATCTATTATCTGCATTTTTAAATAAAATATACCATGTGCGCTAATGTATTTATATATTGTATTAAAGATAAACAAAATTTTACGAGAATGTGAAAAAGATGAAATAAACAATATTTTTGGGTTAATAATAATGACTTCATATTTTCACTAGGCAATATTTTAAGATATATATTTAGAGTCAGAGTCATCTTTAACAAAAATACAGGCAAATACATACTTTAAATGTCTTCTTCATAATTACAATTTTTTGGCTTCCTTCTTTCCAGATACAATGGTGTCATTATTTTTTTATCTCAAATTGTTACTGACTGATAGTATTAACTCTGCCATTTTCTTTTTGTTACCTTGTTTGTATTATTAACATTATTTTCAATCTGCGGTTTCTATATAGGCCTCTTTTAAGCCACATGTACAGGATTACTTTATTTAAAAACAGATAACAGAATCATGTCTCCACTTAACTGAGAACACATAAAATGCAATCCTAACAATGCACTGAAAACAAACAAGTGACTTGGGATTGTCAGCCAACATCATTACCATGGAACTGCCACTCTTCCCTCAGATCGCGTTTAGTTCTATACATCACAAGAGACCAGCTGACAACGGCCAAGTAAAGACACCAAAGTCAAGCCCTCCACTCAGTGATAATAAAGGTTAATTTTGTTCTTATTTTTAAAATACACAATCAGCAGGAATCAAAGTTGTAATCCTTCCTTCCCACATCCCAGTGGATGTCTTGTATGCCTCCTGGGATGTGCAGCTCCTCACTCTGGAAACCAAAGCCTAGACTAGTGCAACAGTCAACTTGAGGGTTCTCAGATAGGGGTGGTACAATTTCCCCTCCCTGCAGGAAATGTCTGGAATTGTGAGGGGTGCTTACTTGTCCTGATGAATGGTGGGTGCTGCTTGCATTTTGTATAGGGGCAAGGATGCAAATACTCTGTTCATGTGTGTGACAATCTTGCACAATGCCAAAAGGGGCCAGTTGATAAATATTCTCTCTGTATTCATTTTCATCCCCTCTGTCCATGTTCCACACAGCAGTGTGAAGGATTTTTTAAAAATACAAATGTCACATTGTTACCTAAAATTCTTTCATGGATCCTTACTGCTTTTAGGGTAACTCACTGAGCTCTGGCCAAACCAATGAGCTTCCTGTAGGCTCTTGAAGACACCAGGGTCTTCCTGCCTCAGTACTTCCTCACTTCTCTCTATCTAGCTTCCTCCTGCTCATTCCTCAGGGAAGCCCACCTGACCTGTCTGCTAGGAGCAGTCCTCTGTTAATGCTCTCATAGTAGCCTTTACTTTTCCTTCATAACACTTACCTTGAATATAATTAATTATGTGTGATTGTTTTTATATACATCTCCTTACT